CAGCAGTGGGCACTGCTATAGTCCATTCAGCTTGTATGCTGGATGTCTTACTCCTGGCACCGTCCCTTGCAAGGGTGTGCCTTTACCCATCATTTTTTTTTTTTCTCACCCATCATTTTTGGAGAGCAGTCTGGCAGGCTGCAGTTCATTGGATTGCCAGAGCCAGACACGATGTAACGCTTATCTTTCTTTCTTTTTGTTGGACATAGAGAATTATCAGTTGACATGTTTCTTTTTTAAAAAATTCATTTATTTTATTTTTGACTATGCTGGGTCCTCGCTGCTTTGCACGGGTTTCCTCTAGTTGCGTGAGCAGAGGCCTGTCTTCACTGTGGTGTGTGGGCTTCTCATTGCGGTGGCTTCTCTTGTTGCGGCCCACAGGCCTGGGTGTGCACAGGCTTCAGTAGTTGCAGTCCGTGGGCTCGGTAGTTGCGGCTCGAGGGCTCTAGAGTGTTGTGGTGCACAGGCTTAGTTGCTCCTCGGCATGTGGAATCTTCGAACCCACGTGGCCGGGTTTTGTGAGATTTTTATGTGGGATTTAAGTCACATAACGTAAAATTCACCATCGGCAGGTGGATTCTTATCTACTGTGCCACCAGGGAAGTCCCACAGTGTTTCTTTCAGCACTTTGAACTTACCATTCCTTTGCCTTTTGTCCTTTATTGTTTTTTTATGTGAAGTCAGCTGTTAATTATACTATGGCTCCACTGTATATGTCTTTTTCTAGTCTTTCAGAATTTAGCCTTTGTCTTTCAATTGTTTGCCTAGGTGTTGATCTCTTTCTATTAATTTTATTTTGGGTTTATCTTCTTATATTTGTAGATTAATTTTTTAAAATCAAATTTGGGAAGTTTTCTGCCCTCATCTTCTCAAATATTTTTTAGCCCTTTTTCCCCTCTCCTGTCTGGTACTACCATTATATATAAATTGGTATGTTTGATATTGTCCTGCAGCTCTCCCTGATTCTCTTTATTATAATGTTCATTTTTTTCCCTATGATCTTCATATTGGATAGTTTATATTGATCTTCAAGCTCATTGATTATTTGTCTTTCTCAGATCTATTGTTGAACTTCTCTAGTAAATTTAAAATTTTGTTATTAAACTTTTCAACTCCAGGATTTTCATCTGGTACTTTTAAAAAAAATTGAAATCAAGTCCCATAATGTAAAATTCACCATTTAAGGTATACAGTTCAGTGGTTTTTTTAGTATATTCACATGGTTAGGCAACCATTATTACTACCTAATTCCAGAACATTTTTATCACCCCATGAAGAAACCTTAGAGGCTTCCCAGGGGACTCAGTGGTAAAGAGTCTGCCTGTTTATGTAGGAGATGCAGGAAATGCAGGTTCGATCCCTGTGTCAGGAAGATCCCCTGGAGGAGGAAATGGCAGCCAACTCTGGTATTCTTGCCTGGAAAATCCTATGGATAGAGAGAGGAGCTGGTGGGCTACAGCCCATGGGAAAGCAAAGAGTCGGACATGCCTGAGCAACTGAACACACAAAGAAACTTTATACCCATTAGGGTTCACCCTTCCTACACCATTTGCCCCAGCCTGTAGAAAACACTAATCTGCTTTCTGCCTTGATGGATTTACCTATTCTGGACATGAATGGAATCATCCAATATATGGTCTTTTGCATCTGACATGTTTCACATAGCTTAATGCTTTCAAGGTTCATTTGTATTGTATGTGGCATGTATCAGTACTTAAATCCATTTTATGGTTGAATAATATTCTATTAAGTGGATATAAATATATCACATTTTGTGTATTCACTCTTCATCACACTTTTTGTGTCGTTGAATGTCTTGTAATTTTCTTGTTGAAAACTGAAAAGTTTGGATAATATAGCAAATCTGTGTTCTGATCTGTTTCCCCTGAGGGTTCTTGCTGTAGTTTTATCAGTGTGTTTAGTAACATGTCTGTACTAAATCTGTGGAGTCTGTTTGATGTACAGTGTGTGACTGCTAGTATTTCTGCTCAACGTAGTATCTTTATTGTATTTTTGTACCTGGCTTGGTATTGGTTAGCCCTGTATAAGCATAGCTTGGGTCAGCCAGTGGTTGGTCTTTGCTTGTGCACTTTGTTTCGTTCTATTTCTCCCTTAATGGTGATGATTCTTTGTGTGTGTTAAAGGTTCAGGCAGGTTTTAAGTTTGCTTTGGCTTTTGTTTTACTCTGAGATCTCTTGCATTTCCTCTGTGCATGTGCACCCTCTCATGGTTTGCCAGGGATTTGCAGATAGCGTGATCTCTCTCTGGTTTTTCCTTCATGTTTAGGTGGAGAAGCTTATTAAGAACCGTTATAGCTCTGCCATTTTCTGGATCTTCCTGCTAAATGTCTGGCCAGTGTGCTGGTCTTTTGCTAACTGCAACTTTGGGCTGCTACTGAGTCACTTTTCTTGCCATGTTTGGCACTGAGATTACTGCTATTGCTGATCACACTGTTTGCAGTGGACCTCTTTCTCTGCTTAAGTCTGAATCATGCCAGTCTCTTCTGCAAGTGAATCTGCTAGTTTTTAAAGTTTGCCTTCCCTTGTATGATTACCATGGCAACCCAGATGGGATGGAAGATGGAAACAACTCCAGGCAAGAATGCCCCAAATTCCCACAGTTCTTACCTGTGGTTCTGTAGTTTTTCATGAGTAGCTACTTATTCATTTATTCTGTGTTTTTTTTGTCACTTTCCAGAGCTCTGGAATGGTTGTTTTGACCATTTTCGCTAGTTTTGTTATTGCCTTCTGGCGGGAGAGCATTTGCTAACTTCCCACCATATTTGGATATTCCAGCACATCTGAACTCCCCTCCCCCTGCCTCCAAATTGACTCTTCATTAATCAAAACCTTTGAGATGCTGTATAATAAGAGTTTCTTTTTATTGCATATTCAGAAACACTAAAAGGTTAATATTTTTGAACTGAAGATTTAAAATAGAATTGTGGCATATTTTCCTACTACTTAAGTTCCTCTAGAACAGTTTTTATTATTATTGTTTCATTAAAGATTTATTCTTTATTATCTATTTTTTATTAAATTGTTTATTAAATTAGGTAAGTAAAATTTCCCTAGGATTTTGAGTTAAAGCATTTTTTGTATTCTTTAGTATTTTTTTATAAGAAGATTTTATAACAGCTAGTAATACTAACAAATAATTTATTGAGTACTTACATTGTTTTAATCTTTTAGTCCTGAGAAATCCTTGAGTTAGTTATATACACGTTATTTCCATTTTATAGGTAGGTAACTTAAAGTCACATACCTGGTAGTAGAGGAGGTAGTTAATAGTTGAAAAGCACTTTCTATTATGTGAGATTGTAGGTAAAATTAACTTTGTCTATTAAAATGCTCAAAAATACTTTTAGATTTTCTTAGGATTTGGTTTGGATGTTGTTTAAAGGATGGCTTAGTATAGAATAGATACTCTACTTTTTGGAGAAAAAGTCAATTGTAATCTGTTATTTGAATACATACAATAAAGTGATAAAAATTCAAACATTTTCAGTGTTTCAGTTCACTTAAAACTCAAGGAAGTAAAATTTGATAATTTGAGAGGGACCATTTCACATTTCTCTTCCTTTAACTGGCAGGGAGACTTGATGAGGTAAAGATGTTGTTGAGAGTAGGGGGGAAGGATACTTGTGCCGACATAGAGAGGAAATAGGGGGCTTGTATTTCTCTTGGGCTTTGCTATCCTGGTGATAGTATTTGGGGGTGTAGAACTGTTGGTGGAAGGTAGAAGGAAAGACGTTAAAGAGCAGAAGAGTTGTTATTTTAATTGTCAGTTGGTTAGTTGCTAAGTTGTGTCCGACTGACTCTTTTGCGACCCCATGGACTGTAGTACTCCAGGCTCTTCTGTCCATGGGATTTCCCAGGCAAGAATTCTGGGGAGGGTTGCCATTTCCTTCTCCAGGGGATCTTCCCCATCCAGGGATCAAACCCGGGTCTCCTGCATTGCAGGTGGATTCTTACCACTGAGCCACCAGGGAAGCCCATTAATTTAGTTCTTTAAGGGTTATAAGCCTTTTTAGAGTGTTCAGTCCATAAAGCCACGGCACAAAATCACACCACACCACTTGCCTGACAGAGCAGTCTCTAGTTGCACACAAGGTAAGAGAAAATAATCTTTTTAGGCATGAATTTGGAAACGAAAGTGTAGAGTTAAAATGATGGTCAAAGGATAAATCAGTTTTATGTTTATTAAAAATGTTTCCTTAGGGAGTTCCCCAATGGTCCAGTGGCTAAGACTCTGAGCTCCTAATGCAGGGAGCCTGGGTTCAATCCCTGGTCAGGGAACTAGATCCCACATGTCACATCTAAGACCTGATGCAGCCAAATAAATGAATAAATATTAAAAGAAAATGTTTCCTTAATAATCATCTTAAATTTATTTCATTTTGTGCACTGTATTCAAATTATTCTCAAATATACTTTTTGGATCATTTGAGGTACTGTGTGGTATGTTGTATTTTTTAATTTGGTAAAATTAAGTGACTCCCTAATGGAGTCCATCATTCACTAAGAAAGATTAGTGACTCTAAAGATACTGAATAACGTTCCCCACTTTAGCTGGTGGACTTTTTCTTTTTCTGCATTTTAAAAAGATGAGCACTTTTGATAGGTTTCAGATAACATGCTTTTGTAAAAAGTCCACATTATTATAAACATTATAAAATTCCTGTTGAATTTAAACAGTTTTAGAGCAGCATAGGTTTACAGAAAAATTATGCAGAAAGTATAGAGTTTTCCCATATATTCACCTTTCTCCCTCACAGTTTTCCTGTTGTTAGCATCTTGCCTTGGTGTGGTACATTTGTTACATTTGATAAACCAATATGGCTATTCCTTTTGATTTTTTAAAAGCAGTTGTAATCCAGTTTAATAGATGAACATTTTTGTAATTCGTATAAATACTTGTGGTAACTATCATTCATTCATTGCTGATCTTTTTAAAATAGTCATATTGACCATGAAACACAGTTACTCTGATCTTTTTAGGGTGGGATAATCAGTGATGGCTCTGAATTGATCGGTCCCGTTGAAGCTTATCCAGATTCCCTCACTGATAGCTTTCCTGAGTGCAGCACAGAAGGTAAGAGATTTTTATATTTAATTTTTTTTCATTTCAGTGGTTTTGGTTGCTGCAGACTATAAATCATATCTACATAGCCCAAATCAGATGGATATAGGAGTTTGAGAGTATTATACTAATTCTAAGGTACTTTTTTCTTCACATCTTAACATCATTGATATTGAGTACGTGGTATTGGGTTGATGGTATATTAATTGACGGCTTTTTTCTTCCTTTTTTTGTTTTGTTTTTTGTTTTGCTTTTTTTCTTTCTTAGTGATATATAAAATAATGATTTGTCCTACAATTAATGGCTTCTTAGATTTGTTGAAATGTGGTATAGTAAGTGTTCAGAATTTGTATTGTTTAGTATAAGAATGCCTTTCTAAAATTTATTTAGCTGGATCTGACTTTCAGACAATTAATTTCAAAAGGGGCTTTAAAAATTTAGTCATGTACCAGAAAGAATAAATCTAAGTCAGTTTTAGTATTTTTGATATTCTTTATAATAACATGAGTCTAAACCAAAGCAATTTTTGTACTTTTAATCACTTTAATTCAAGAATGCTTAATCTCTTGCTTTTATTCCTCTATTAAGCCATTCTTGAATTTTTAATGAAGATTTAAAAAATTTCCTTAGCTAGTTTTCTTCCAGAAAATATTTTAGAGTTAAAAGAGATATATTTGGGGACAGGGCTGGGAAGAGTCTTTAAAAATAGGTAAATTAGATTAGCTTGAAGTTGCTTAGGTTTGGTTTATATTAAAGAAAAATCATACACTAGAGAATATTTCTTGATCTGTTTCATGAGTAAGAATTTATGGTAGAGGAGGATGGTTTATGATTGACATGAGAGGTGGTCATGATATCATTGTAGTGATATTTTTGTTGGAATGTGTACTGATGTCATACATTGACACGCTAACATAGATCTGTTACAGCAAATTCTCATCATGTTTTGGTAGGAGCATCAAGTTCCCGTCGATTTTGTGGGTTGATGCACTTAAAATTTAGTTTTCTTTTGGTGAAGAAAATCTACACTGAGAAAGTAATTAAAATTTCTTATTTTTCATGGTAGCTCCCATTGACTTAAAAGCACAGTCCATTAACTTATATCAAATGTTCTGTGTAATGTATGGGCGACCGTAGGCTGGGGTCTCCTTTGGGTCCTCAGTATCTTCAACTCCATCCTGAATCATCTAAGATCGTAGAAAAACAATACTGATAGTCATTTTACTCTACAGTCCATCAGGTGTTTCGGAGGAAAAATACATCTATTTTCCATGACTTGTTTTGATCTGAGATCCTTGCTAGACTTTGGGAAAATCTAACCACTTCTTGGGATCCCAAGGTGACTATTTTTAGAATAAGTTTCCTTGGAGAATGACTTTTCTGGGATAACCTGATCTGGCTGTTGCCTCAGAGATACCCTCCCTCTTTTGAGAAAGAGGGAGAAAACATTTTCTGCTTGTAAAATTTGCAGATTTGGTGATGTACAAGAGAGGACAAGTAGGAGACTTAGATTTGTGGGAGAGTATTCAGTGAGGAGTACAGTTCCTGAAAATTATGGAATCTTTTTTTTCTCTTTGATTTTTGATTCAGGAATTGAAGGGTATGTGACTTGAGGATGACTCTATTCTTTGATATCCTGATGAGTCTTTATTACCTAGGTAGGAGCCCAGTCATGGTGGGAGAAGGGTGTCTCAGGAGCCTATTTTAGTAGAAGGCAATCAAGAATAGGAGTGGTGCAGAGGTCTTCTGTCCTTTGCTTAAGTTTAGGAGAGAAGGGGAAGAGTTATTATTAGGATTACTTTTCTTGGGATGGTGTTCTAAAATGTGGAAGACTGTTCAGAATAAAAAGGTATTCATGTTAAAGGAGGTATAACCTAAGGTGGGTTATAACTTAAACTTATAGAATAGGGTGAGTTTGTAATTTATTGTCCCAACTGAGACACTTCTGAGAATTAAAGAAGACGCTTGTTGTACTTATTGTTCATTAAGACCAGGACTGCTTTCTAGGTCAATGGGCTACCCTACCTATAGTAGAGGGAGGGTGTATTTGTTTCAAAGTTTATCTTTTAACATTTCAAAATGATGAGTTTTCCTTGGAAGCAATTATCGTTTTAGGAATATGCTTTTATGGGAGAAACTGGGGGCAACGTTTCTGTTAAAAACACAGAAAAAGACTTAATGATACTTAAAAGTAATATTGAAATTTTATCCTTTCAGTGCATAGTTTAGTTTTCTAACTACATTATGACCTCTGAAACACCCTGGGATACATGAAGAATGAAAAACAGGGAACTGGAAAAGCTGTTAATGTTTGTTTTACACCCCCTCCCTTTAAAAACCGCTATGCCTGGCTCATTGATCCTGCCCAAAGATAGCTTATTGACAAATACAGGTTCGAGTATCAGACATCTTGCAAGTTCGCTGGTATTTGAGAGGAAAAATGACTTTTAGATATCATGAGATTGCCTGGCATCCTGGGCAAGCGCAAGATTTACTTTCACACCAAAAGGTCTGCCAGTCCCAGAGACAACGAAGAGAGAGGGCCTCTTGTAGGAAAGGGGCAGGAGAGCTCGCAGCCAGCCGGGCCCCACAGGCCTGTGGGCAAGAGGAGGCTATCGAGGGGCTGGAGGCACATGCTGGCGAGGCGGACTTGGAGCCCGAGCATGAGGAGGTGGCACACTGCATAACAGCTCCTCCGAGTGGAGTGTTCTAAGTGGTGTTTTGAAGGTGGATTCATTTTTCATACTTGTCATTTAGCTTGCCAGTGGAATGAGCCAGTGGGGCCAATCTTAACATGTATAGTCTGCTGTGCCAAGGCCCTTCAGTTAGAGTTAGAATGACACATGGCAAGTACATCACCTCTCAGAGAACAGATGCAGAGGCTAAGTGATCATTATTTTTATTAGTACCATAAAATGCAATCAAGAAGTCTTTACCTTGAAAGAAAGTTTTCTAAGGAAGCATAAAGAGTTGGATTAGAGGATTTTTAAAAAACTTTCAGTATTTTATATAGTATAGTGTGATAAAGGAAACCCCTTTAAAAGGTTTTAGAAAACCCAACAATTTGGTGATTAACTGCTTGATGTATTTTTATCTAATATGAAATTAAAAATTATAAAATTTTTCAGTAGGTTTTTAGCTGAAATGTTCACATTGTTTTATATTTTTAAAATGAAGTGCTGGTTTGCTCTTTATCTCTTTTGCTCAGTGAAATTAAACTATATGTCTTCTCAAAGATGAAAGAAGATTTAATTGTTACCGTCTTACTTCCTTTTTAAAATTCCATCTTTTTGTTGAATTAAACTTAGCCATAAAGTTCCTGTGATGTTTGAGGGGACCTGGTCAAAGTGGTGCATGGGAATTGGACTTCTTGGCATGTTTCTCTCATCTGTTGGCCTTTTGAAAGGATATAGGTTGCTTTACTGCCATGCTGGCCTTAATATCGGAGCCTTTGATGTTTGGTAAGCTCATCTGGTAAACTGTGTCATTTCCTCTTCTCAGTACATTACTTGACTTCTTTTGCAGTTTTGGGAGGGACATATTCCAGGTGTATGCAGCAAGTAAGAAAAAGTAATTAGGTGATCATAACCACAGATACAAATTGAGAGATCAGCTTCTTATATGGAGCATATCTTAAGAGTAAATATTCTTAAATGTTTCCTAAAGTAGTCAAATTTACCTTTTTTTTTTTTTGTCTTTTTGCCTGTAAATTGTGGAGTGAGAGCTTTCTTAAGTGCTTATTGTAGCAATTGTAGACACAAGAAAGGGTCTATTGAGTAAGCTGTCTAGAATTAGCTATTTTAAAGTAAATGAGATGTACATTTTGAGAATAGAATCTATTGCTGGTCCATGTAAGGGACCTTTTAAAAATCACATTCAGTTCAAAATTTGTGTATTTATTTGGTGTCAGGGTAATAATTCTTTTCATTATATAGAAAAGCACAAAGATGACGAAATAAAGATTTTAAATTTAAAGTAGAATTTATAGCAAATGGCCACCAGGTGGCACCACAGGAACGCTAAATCTTGCTCCTGGGCTAATTCTGGGTGCTTCTGAATCACTTTGGAGTGTGCATATTCAGTTTGAAGTTCCTTTTCTCCTGAGTGCTTATCTACTTAACTTTTATCCACTGTCCATTATTAGTTGAATTTTCTTTGTGGGGAAGTTTAAAGTAAGTAGAAAAAGAATAAGTTGTTATTAAGATAAGCAGAAATGAGAATGTGTCATTGTGTGGGTGTAAAACAGGTGACACAAATTACAAAAATTGACCCTTAACAATTCTGTGACTATTGAGGATAACACTGTATATTAAGAGTTTAGGAGTCTGATGGGGCAAATAAAAATTTCACGATATGTTGTGGGAATAGATTTTAGAGTAGAAGGAACACTGGAAATGATATAGATAAATACCTTACTTTATAGTTAAAAATTGGAATTTCAGAAAAGTTAAGCCAGGTGCCTAAGGCAGTCAAAGCACTCCAGATATTAAACAGCAATCTCAGACCTGTATTCTGAAATGAGATTTAATTTGGTATAGAAAGCTCAGTATGAACTGCTTGTGTGCTGGTCACAGATTTGATTTGCAGAGTAGATTATGGAGCAGCATAAAAAGTTCATTAAGTAAAAATGGAAGCCAACTCATAGATCTTTGTTGTTCATGATAAGGTAACAGTACTAGGGCTGTAATTGTGATTGATGTGTTGTTTCCTGTTATTATTATTTTTTTTTTAACCAAATATGCAGTAGATATTCTGATGTTCTTTTTATAAAATTTCAAGGGTGAAGCAAGACATGTATCAAGAACGTTATAAAAATGTGAAACGTCAGAGGAATGGCTCTTTATAGTAACAATAGCTATTATTGAGTGATGAGTTGGTAATCAAATAGAGGAATCTTAACTAACATCAACTTTTGGGTTTAGGTAGTCACTTAAAATCATATTTATAAAGGCTTGTTTCTTAATGGAGATTGATACGTATGTCTTCTACCTCAGGGTGACCTTTGTTCTGCT